CTAATTTGAGTTCAGCTGACGATGAAAGTGTTCGACGAGACCGTTTGCCTGAGGATGGTAACTTGATATGTGGTAACGTCAAATTCCAAGCAAAGTCATAAGTTGCGACTCAAAGTGATTTCCCCTGTCATGTTAAATTGGTTGGTACTCCAAATCTTGATACCCAACCAGCAATAAAGGCTTGTGCTACAGTATCAGCAGAAACGTCACCAAGAGGAACTGCCTCCAGCCATCTAGTCAATCTGTCAATGCAAATGAGGATGTACCTGTATCCATTAGAGTAAGGCAAAGGACCAACAAGATGAACATAGTCGAATCCAGAGGTAACCTATTTGAAGGGCATAGCAGAAACTGTATGGCGAGTTACCACTTAATGCAAGAATGTGTCCAGTTTTTTTTACATCTTTGTTGATACCAGTCCAGATGAATCTTGAGATCAGAACATGCTGATAACGCGAAGAGAGTCACCGTGATGCCCCGAGCGCAGCGGATAGTGCAAAGGGAGTCACCGTGATGCCTCGATTACGGAAATTTTGCCGAGGGTGTTTTTAAAGAGACTGACTGGAGCCACCCCTCGGCAAACAACACCACTTCGGCTCTCACGCGTTACCGCGACGCTTCGGCGTCCACCCCTCGTTGCTGCTGCGACGCTATTTGCTTACTCTGCATTTAGCTTCGTGCCCTATAGCCTATGCTCTCCTTTACGGATTTTTCGGCATTAGGATAACTCTCTGTGCACCTTCTGGTGAACTGGACCCCCATCTTCGGGCGCGTGCTCGGACGTGAGCAGACCTTTACCTCCCGCAGGGGAGGGTGTGTCTGGGGGGCCTTAGCGTGCCTGCCTTACGGTGCACAGAGACTTACCATTCTTTTTGCTAGGGACTGGTCTAGCAGACCATCTGATGACCGCCACTCTAGTTTTTCGTTTAGGATGATAGGCAGGTAGGAGCCCCTCCCTTTGGCATAAATTCTGTCAAAATAGCTGCTGCTAGACAGAACACTGCCTTCCCGTCCCGCCACTGGAACCGCCTCGAAAGTTAGCTTCTCTTCCTCACTGTGGGAAAGCAGCCTTTGGGTGGCTGCTTCTGAGCGCTGTAGAAACTTCCTTGAAAAGGTGCAGGACTCTTGCTTTCTCACTGTGGTGAAACAGCCTTTGGGTGGCTGTCTCAGAGGAAAGAGGAATTCACTTTGAAAAGGTTCAGGCCCTCTCCTCCCTCACTGTGTTGAAACAACCTTTGGGTGGCTGTCTCAGAGGAAAGAGGAATTCACTTTGAAAAGGTTCAGGCCCTCTCCTCCCTCACTGTGTTGAAACAGCCTTTGGGTGGCTGTTTCAGAGGGATGAGAGGAACTGCCTGGTAAAAGTGAAAGAGCTCCCTTCCCTCACTGAGGTGAGACAGCCTTTGGGTGGTTGTCTCAGAGGGAATCACTTTGAAAAGGTACAGGCCCTCCCCTCCCTCACTGTGGTGAAACAACCTTTGGGTGGTTGTTTCAGAGGAAAGAGAGGAACCTCCTGGTAAAAGTGCAAGAGCTACATCCCTCACTGAGGAGAAGCAACTTTTGGGTAACTGTTTCTGAGGGATGAGCAAAAGGGTTCCAAACAATGATGTTCAGTAGGTGGAAGAACATCCTCTGTGGTCTCTCCCCAAGGGTTCACACGCTCCTACAGTGCCTCTGTCTAGCTGCTGCTAGACAGAACACTACCTTCCCGTCCCGCCACTGGAACCACCTTGAAAGTTAGCTTCTCTCCCTCACTGTGGGAAAGTAGCCTTTGGGCTGAAAAAGCTTCCCTGAAAAGGTGCAGGTCTTCTCTTCCCTCACTGCGGTGAAAAAGTGAAAAATTCCCTCTTCCCTCTGAAACAGCCATCCAAAGCTCATGGCTGTTTCAGATGGAAGAGGGAATCACTTTGAAAGGTACAGGGCCTCTCCTCCCTCACTGTGGTGAAACAACCTTTGGGTGGTTGTTTCAGAGGAAAGAGAGGAACCTCCTGGTAAAAGTGCAAGAGCTCCATCCCTCACTGAGGTAAAGCAACCTTTGGGTGGCTGCTTCAGAGGGACGAGCACTAGGGTTCCAAACAATGATGTCCTGTAGGTGGAAGGACATCCCCTCTG